CGTCAAATTTCTGCCCTTCTAGAGCTGCTCCGGTCAACTTTAAGTGCTGTTATTGTGAAGCGGAAACGTCTAGGAGCAACAACGGCTCAGTGGGACCACCGAATGCTGAAGCGCGTAAATATCGTCTGTCCTCGATTGCAACACTCACTACCGAGTTCCAAACTGCCTCTGGAAGCAACGTCAGCACAATAACTAACTGTTCGTCGGGAGCTTCATGAAATGGGTTTCCATGGCCGAGCAGCCACACACAAGCCTAAGATCACCATGCGCAATGCCAAGCGTCGGCTGGAGTGGTGTAAACATCACCGCCATTGGACTCTGGAGAATTGGAAATGTGTTCTCTGGAGTGATGAATCACGCTTCATCTTGCAGTCAGACGGACAAATCTGGGTTTGGCGGATGCCAGGAGAACGCTACCTGCCCGAATGCATAGTGCCCCAACTGTAAAGTTTGGTGGATGAGGCATAAATGGTCTGGGGCTGTAATTCATGGTTCGGGCTAGGCCCCTTAGTTCCAGTGAAGGGAAATCTTAACGCTACAGCATACAATGACATTCTAGACAATTCTGTGCTTCCAACTTTGTGGCAACAGGTTGGGGAAGGCCCTTTCCTGTTTCAGCATGACAATGTCCCCGTGCACAAAGCAAGGTCCATACAGAAATGTTTTGTCAAGATCAGTGTGGAAGAACTTGACTGGCTTGCACAGAGCCCTGACCTCAACCCCATCGAACACCTTTGGGATTAATTGGAACGCCGACTACAAGCCAGGCCTAAACGCCCAACATCAGTGCCCGACCTCACTAATGCTCGTGGCTGAATGGAAGCATGTCCCCGCAGCAATGTTGCATTATCTAGCGGAAAGCCTTCCCAGAAGAGTGGAGGCTGTTATAGCACCAAAGGGGGGACCAACTCCATATTAATGGCCATGATTTTGGAATGAGATGTTCGACCAGCAGGTATCCACATACTTTTGGTCATGCAGTGTATGACCCCATGCCTATAGGTACTGTTTTTCTACAACTGAAGGTCGAAAGTATTTTCATGGAAGCATAGTGATGCAGGCTATGGTGATATACATCATCTCTAATAGTGAGCACTGGCAGCTAAAACTTTGACTTAAGGCCGGGCATAGTCTAGTCCTAATGTTTAGGTAACCTTAATTGAGGTCCTTCACTAAACATTCATTATTTAACATAGGCTATTGTTCACAAAAGTCTATCAACAGCAGATCCAGCTGTTTTTGCATGTACTTTTACTGTCTAAATTGATTGACAGACCATTCAGTTTAATTTAACCTGGGGCCATATGTATCAAGAGTCTGAGTCTCCTACTCTGAGATGCTTTATAAGGCCCCTGATCTAAAAGCCCATTAACCTGTCAATCTAACCATCATGTAAATAATGTACTAGCATTCATTATCGTTTGTTGTTTTATATCTTAGTTACAGGTCAGTGGAGGTTTGCACTGTCGTCACAGAATACTTAGTCTTATACAGTGTTTCAAAACCATTTTGTAACAGGCACCAGCGGGCTATGGTCCTCCCCATTGAAACTAGTAGTTGAGAATATCAGTCATTAACTATCTGACGAAACGGTTGGCAACATCGTATGAACCTGTGCCGGTATTCATAAAGCTTCTCAGAGTATGAGTGTTGAAAATGGATCCTACATCAGCACACCTACTCAGACGCTTATGAATACAGGCCCTAGTCTGAAATAACAAGGTCCTGCATGCAGAATAAATGCCTTGCAAAAACATGCCAGGTCTGACAAAAGTTTCATAATAGCGTTTTATTCTTTGGTGTTTACTGTTGTAATGCAATGATATGCCTCTAATACACTTGCTAATTCTTGCATCGTAAGATGTAGGCCCCAAGTGTTTCTAAGCTGACCTACAAGGTATGACCATGTTGGCTGAACTTATACATGGTCACGAGCTAATCAAATCTAATTTCTAAACCGCCCATTCTAAGTAAATTAATTATGCAGCAGGTTGCATGGCAACAGATGTGAATCACTTAGGCTATTTGCTTCCTACAGTACAACAGGTGACTGAACACACTGTTAGATTTTCGTTTAGTGCATGGGCATCAGGGTTGGGGTCAATTAGAATTTTAGTCAGTGAATCCAGGAAATTATTTGAATTTAAAATCCCACATTTGTTTTGTAACGTAAATTCCATCTCCCTTTCAACTTATTGAGAAGTAATTGAAAATAGATCTCAATAATGCCATTTTTAAATTTTTATTATTGAATTGGAACTTCAGTTTACATCTTGAATTGACTGCCTTAAATTCAAATTGACCACAACCCCGATGGGCATCAACGTTATTGTGGAAGAGGTGATGATGGGAAAGAATCATGGTGGAAGAAGTAAAGGCAAACATGACTCAGGCAGCTGTGAGAGGCACCTTTATTACAGTCAGTACAAGTAAAAAGGTAGTTGAAGGCGGAAAGTGGAGTTTCTTGATCCAATTCCAAAATTAACTTATTTTCTTCTTTGTTGTTTAGGGGCAAAAAAAATATCCCCCCACCCCCACCCCACCCCTAAGCCCTGTTTTATTCTAATATCACCCCTGTGCTGGTCTCATCTTTCTCTGAGAAATTAGAAAAGTGATGACACAGCCAGTAAAGGGTTAAATCTTTCGCACTATGTACACTGAACAAAGTGTTGCTTAACAAATATAACATTCAAAATCATAACATTTATGGAATTTATCATCAGTTTCCCCCAGCTACACAAACGGATATTGTACAGTCGTGGTCAAAAGGTTTCAGAATGACAAGTATTGGTCTTCACAAAGTTCGCTGCTTCAGTGTTACGAGATATTTTTGTCAGATATTACTGTGGTATACTGAAGTATAATTACAAGCATTCCATAAGTGTCAAAGGCTTTTATTGACAATGACATTAAGTTTATGCAAAGAGTCAATATTTGCAGTGTTGACCCTTCTTTTTCAAGACCTCTGCAATCCGCCCTGGCATGCTGTCAATTAACTTCTGGGCCACATCCTGACTGATGGCAGCCCATTCTTGCATAATCAATGCTTGGAGTTTGTCAGAATTTGTGGGTTTTTGTTTGTCCACCCACCTCTTGAGGATCGACCACAAGTTCTCAATGGGATTAAGGTCTGGGGAGTTTCCTGGCCATGGACCCAAAATTTCAATGTTTTGTTCCCCGAGCCACTTAGTTATCACTTTTGCCTTATGGCAAGGTGCTCCATCATGCTGTAAAAGGCATTGGTCGTCACCAAACTGTTCTTGGATGGTTGGGAGAAGTTGCTCTCGGAGGATGTGTTGGTACCATTCTTTATTCATGGCTGTGTTCTTAGGCAAAATTGTGAGTGAGCCCACTCCCTTGGCTGAGAAGCAACCCCACACATGAATGGTCTCAGGATGCTTTACTGTTGGCATGACACAGGACTGATGGTAGCGCTCACCTTGACTTCTCCGGACAAGGCGTTTTCCGGATGCCCCAAACAATCGGAAAGGGGATTCATCAGAAAAAATGACTTTACCCCAGTCCTCAGCAGTCCAATCCCTGTACCTTTTGCAGAATATCAGTCTGTCCCTGATGTTTTTCCTGGAGAGAAGTGGCTTCTTCGCTGCCCTTCTTGACACCAGGCCATCCTCCAAAAGTCTTCGCCTCACTGTGCGTGCAGATGCAGTCAAACCTGCCTGCTGCCATTCCTGAGCAAGCTCTGCACTGGTGGTGCCCCGATCCCGCAGCTGAATCAACTTTAGGAGACGGTCCTGGCGCTTGCTGGACTTTCTTGGGCGCCCTGAAGCCTTCTTCACAACAATTGAACCTCTCTCCTTGAAGTTCTTGATGATCCGATAAATGTTTGATTTAGGTGCAATCTTACTAGCAGCAATATCCTTGCCTGTGAAGCCCTTTTTGTGCAAAGCAATGATGACGGCACGTGATTCCTTGCAGGTAACCATGGTTAACAGAGGAAGAACAATGATTTCAAGCACCACCCTCCTTTTAAAGCTTCCAGTCTGTTATTCTAACTCAATCAGCATAACAGAGTGATCTCCAGCTTTGTCCTCGTCAACACTCTCACCTGTGTTAACGAGAGAATCACTGACATGATGGCAGCAGGTCCTTTTGTGGCAGGGCTGAAATGCAGTGGAAATATTTTTTGGGGGATTACGTTTATTTTCATGGCAAAGAGGGACTTTGCAATTAATTGCAATTCATCTGATCACTCTTCATGACATTCTGGAGTATATGCAAATAGCCATCATCAAAACTGAGGCAGCAGACTTTGTGAAAATTAGTATTTGTGTCATTCTCAAAACTTTTGACCATGACTGTAGAAGGAAATTACATAATATGAAGTTTGCATTCTCTTTGCGTCTACGTACATGAAATGTAGTGTACACAAAAAGAGACGACGTAGGAGTAATTATCCTGGCTGATGGGATTATGGTTAGGTCTTTTCAGTGTGAAAGTGGGCCTCAACTTTAATTGAAAAATGACAAGAGAAACATAGCAGTAACTACCCTTCTCTGACACTTAGGCCTACTTTGCAAAAGAATAACGTCTTAAAATGCAGTTTAAATAATGAACAGTAGTCTTAGATTTAGCTCACTCATTCTAACGCATGCACACAAGCATATTGCACGCTTAGAGCTAATTCTGGGGGGAAGATGAATTAAAGACTTAATGTTTTATATGAGAACAAATATGAGAACAAAAATCAAACTGAATTATATATCCACCTCATATTTTCTTTTATTCCGCTGTGTCTCCGTTGTTCAGGCCGACCTCTCCCTTCCCTCTTTCTCCAGATCCATGTCTTCACTAATCCTCTCCTTTACTCCTCCAATTGTACTCGTCTATTCCCCTCTTCCTCTCAGGCCTCTTAAACCTGCTTCTTTCCCAACTCATCTCTCCTCCTCTTCTACCCTCCATGTGTCGCGCCCCCTGCCACAATTACATTCCGGTAGCCTAAAAACTGTAATTTGATGTCACCCAAGTCAGTTAACAAGTCAGAAGCGCGGAGGTAGGTGTGGTCTTTTGGGGGGAAAGAACGGACCACCTGGTCCCCCTCTGGGGTGTCCACCAAAAGGAGGACCTGGCCGTTTCCCCCTGAGCATGGGGCCGCAGAGGGTTGGGCGTGGGGGACCCCACGGGAGGCCTCTCAGGTGTGGATGGTGTGCTGGGTGGAGAGGACGGTGTGGAGGATGGGGACGCAGGGGCATGTGGTCAGGGTGTTGCAGGTCCATGTGAGGGTTTAGGGGGCGTCTGTGACCATATGGAGGGGAAGGGCTGCGTGGCGGGTAGTTATAGTAGTAAGGGTCTTCTGAGGGAGAGAGAGGGGGAGTGAGGCGCTCTCTGACTCTATAAGGATAATGAGGATTGTCTACAGGTAGATGGTGGAATTCATCTGGGTGATAATAGCGATCATCTGGGTGACGAGGGAGGTCGTGGGGGTGCAGACGGAAGTTGTCAAGGTGATTCAGGTCGTCAGGCTGACGGTGTAGATCGTCAGGGTGACAACGGAAATCGTCAGGGTGATATGGGTCGTCAGGGTGACAACGGGGGTCATCGGCATGGCGATGAAGATCATCTGGGTGATAGGGGTGGCCCTCAGGGTGGAAAGCAGATTTGTGCTGGTGATCACTGATAATCACCGGACCGCCCAATGTACTGATGCCCGCCCTGTTATCCTCCATCTCAGGGTTTGGTGAGGGTCGCTCCACAGGCACCATCACTCCTTGCACCATGACAGACGCGGGCGGGCCCTGGTAGTCCTGTGGTGCGGCTGGTATTCCAGGGAAGGGCGGTGGAGGCAGCTGGGGAATGGGGGGCAGAGGGCTGGTGAGGAAGCTTGAAGGGTTGGCCCCCTGTTGGGAAAGCAGAGCGTGAGAATCCTTTGTTTGGTAGGGCTGCGTCTGCCCCTCCCCCTGGTATGCATACCGTCCTGACATTGGGTTTTTGCCATCTCCTGCCCCTGAGGCAGCCATCTCGTGGTTGCTGGGATGCAGGGCCTGTCCCTCTGGGTAGGGATTACCATACCATCCTCCTTCACTCACACTGAGGTTTGGCCCTGCCTGAGGCCCTCCTAGTGTGTTACTGGGTAACTCCTCTCCGAGGGTTGGGGCTGACACCTGTATCGTGATGGGCTGGTAATGGGCCAATCCAGACTCTCTGTGGGAAGGAGCTATTCCATGCATCTCTTCCTTCCCTCCATAAGGCAACTGGTGGTACCCCTGCCCATTCGGAGCACCTGGTTGTAGTCCTAAGTGGACATGAGGGTTGTTGGGATCCTGCCAGGCTTGGTTGTGGTAGGCAGTTGGAGACAGAGACAGGCTACCATCTGGTTGTTTAGGAACTCCCCCAGAAGAGACCTGACCTTGCTTGGCCAGGAAGGGCTCTGCTCCTCCCGGAGTGTCCAAGATCTCATCCAGGGTTGGGGTGCCTCCTGCGGCCTCGTCCCGCACCGGGGTGCCCTCCTGGGTCTCTTTACCCGCTAAAGGGCTGAGGTTGCTGCCTCCCGCTTGCATGGCCTCGCTAGTCAAGCCCAGGTTAAAGGCATTAAAGCCAGGGTTACCCTGCAGGAAGCTGTGGATCTTGGACTCCAGGCTGGAAGCAGAGGGCTTTTCTTCCTTCTCTTGCTCCAGGACCAGCCCTCTATGAGGGCCGATGTCTAGAGGCTGTTTGGGCTGGGTAAGGGACGCTGCCTGAGGGATGGTGGTGGTGTTCCCCACTGCAGGGGCTGATGGGGTCGGTTCGAGCGTAGAGGTGGTGAGAGGAAAGCCTCGAGAGGGTACTGTAGGGGTGGAGGCGGAGGGAGGGAGCTTGCCTGTACTGGGGGAGTTTGAGGAGAGGTTTCCAGCTGGGCTGTTCAGAAGAGTGGAGAGGCCTAAGAGGGAGACAGAAAAAAAGAAGAGAGAAAAGGAAATGTGTTAAAATACTTGACAACTATGAATGGCGACCTCAATTGTACGAATCTGAATGATTTTCGCACAGTACAATAAAATAAGTGATAACAGAGTAGAGATGTATACTCCCTGTCTGTCACCATTTTTGCTCCTCAATTAGCAACATTCTGTCAATTAGAAACAATGTTTCTTCACCCTCTAAATCAGTGCTCGTCTCGTACCCGTACACGGGTTGAAAATGGCAGATTTGGGCAATAATAAGCGCCTAAATTTGGAACGTAATGGCTGTACAGTAACATGCTATACATGACGTCAGAGCTCTGGCTCTGCGCTTCAGTGCTGTCTGAGTTTACATTTACATTTGAGTAATTTAGCAGATGCTCTTATCCAGAGGGACTTACAGTAATGAGTGCATACATTTATCCTACTATTTCGTACTGGTCCCCCGTGGGAATCAAACCCACAACCCTGGCGTTGCAAGTGCCATGCTCTACCACATGGGACCATTATGACTGACAGCCGTTCTGAACTTGAGCACCGCGCGCGACAAGACGTTGCCCCCATCCCTCCCGGTAATTGGGCAACTTTTGCGAATGAGGGAAATGCTGTAAATTAAGATGACTCAATGTATTTTGAAAGATGAGACGTTGAGGATTACAATAAATATAACTTTGATGTCATACAACAAGCCAAACACCTGAGAGTCCAAATGTGCACTTTACATTTCCAAATCATAAAACTCATGTCATATACAGTGTCAATGTTTATGATCACTATGTTTTATGTACAGTTACAAGATGACATGGCTTCATGCCCTGGGTTGTCCTGAACAGAATGAGCCTGTTTGTTTATTGTGAAGAAAATTTGACGATGCACACGCACTTGAATGAACTCATGACTCCTTTCTTTGCACACCAAAATTACGATCTATTTCTCTGAATTGCCTTGTGAAAGCCTAACACTGTGAGATCATATTATTTAACTTAACTAGTCATGTTGGCAAAATAACAAGTTTTCAAATCATGCCCACCTGACCCAGATTGCGATTTATATTGGACCGTTTTTGGATTACGTAAACAACAGTAATTGTGTGATGGCGGGGATGAAAGGTTGTGTTCCAAACGAAACCCCTACAAGTGTGCCTGCTCTAGTTCCTCAACGGCACAGCTAGGAGAGCAAAAAAAAAAAAAGTACCTTATAGTATAAGACTCTTCTTTGAGTCATAAAAGTGCATTGAAATTGCTTAGGAACTGTGCACACTTTAGAGAGATGTGTGGCCACTTGGAGACACCAGTCAGTCATCTCACTCAAACCCTTATCATTTTTTGTCTTATGTTGCAGCTACCCCACATTTTCCAGATTCGTTATCAACAAATGCTGCGAAAAGTACAGTAAATGTAAAATGCACATAAAATCAACAGTGTAATGTTTGGCTTCAGTCTTGTCAGGTGAACTGTTGTGTACTCACCTTTGGTCTAATAATTGTATCATTCTCTCAAAACTGTTCCCTTTCAATTGCTACCAAGGTTATGCATATGCTTTTTATACAGTGGGGGAAAAAAGTACTTAGTCAGCCACCAATTGTGCAAGTTCTCCCACTTAAAAAGATGAGAGAGGCCTGTAATTTTCATCATAGGTACACGTCAACTATGACAGACAAAATGAGAATTTTTTTCTCCAGAAAATCACATTGTAGGATTTTTTATGAATTTATTTGCAAATTATGGTGGAAAATAAGTATTTGGTCAATAACAAAAGTTTCTCAATACTTTGTTATATACCCTTTGTTGGCAATGACACAGGTCAAACGTTTTCTGTAAGTCTTCACAAGGTTTTCACACACTGTTGCTGGTATTTTGGCCCATTCCTCCATGCAGATCTCCTCTAGAGCAGTGATGTTTTGGGGCTGTCGCTGGGCAACACGGACTTTCAACTCCCTCCAAAGGTTTTCTATGGGGTTGAGATCTGGAGACTGGCTAGGCCACTCCAGGACCTTGAAATGCTTCTTACGAAGCCACTCCTTCGTTGCCCGGGCGGTGTGTTTGGGATCATTGTCATGCTGAAAGACCCAGCCACGTTTCATCTTCAACGCCCTTGCTGATGGAAGGAGGTTTTCACTCAAAATCTCACGATACATGGCCCCATTCATTCTTTCCTTTACACGGATCAGTCGTCCTGGTCCCTTTGCAGAAAAACAGCCCCAAAGCATGATGTTTCCACCCCCATGTTTCACAGTAGGTATGGTGTTCTTTGGATGCAACTCAGCATTCTTTGTCCTCCAAACACGACGAGTTGAGTTTTTACCAAAAAGTTCTATTTTGGTTTCATCTGACCATATGACATTCTCCCAATCCTCTTCTGGATCATCCAAATGCACTCTAGCAAACTTCAGACGGACCTGGACATGTACTGGCTTAAGCAGGGGGACACGTCTGGCACTGCAGGATTTGAGTCCCTGGCGGCGTAGTGTGTTACTGATGGTAGGCTTTGTTACTTTGGTCCCAGCTCTCTGCAGGTCATTCACTAGGTCCCCCCGTGTGGTTCTGGGATTTTTGCTCACCGTTTTTGTGATCATTTTGACCCCAAAATGATCACAAAAAGATCTTGCGTGGAGCCCCAGATCGAGGGAGATTATCAGTGGTCTTGTATGTCTTCCATTTCCTAATAATTGCTCCCACAGTTGATTTCTTCAAACCAAGCTGCTTACCTATTGCAGATTCAGTCTTCCCAGCCTGGTGCAGGTCTACAATTTTGTTTCTGGTGTCCTTTGACAGCTCTTTGGTCTTGGCCATAGTGGAGTTTGGAGTGTGACTGTTTGAGGTTGTGGACAGGTGTCTTTTATACTGATAACAAGTTCAAACAGGTGCCATTAATACAGATTTTACATTTACATTTTAGTCATTTAGCAGACGCTCTTATCCAGAGCGACTTACAGTTAGTGAATACATATATATATTTTTTTCATACTGGTCCCCCGTGGGAATTGAACCCACAACCCTGGCGTTGCAAACGCCATGCTCTATCAACTGAGCTACATCCCTGCCGGCCATTCCCTCCCCTACCCTGGACAACGCTAGGCCAATTGTGCGCTGCCCATGAGTCTCCCGGTCGCGGCCGGCTGCGACAGAGCCTGGATACGAACCAGGATCTCTAGTGGCACAGCTAGCACTGCGATGCAGTGCCTTAGACCACTGCGCCACTCAGGAGACTAGTGGAGGACAGAGGAGCCTCTTAAAGAAGAAGTTACAGGTCTGTGAGAGCCAGAAATCTTGCTTGTTTGTAGGTGACCAAATACTTATTTTCCACCATAATTTGCAAATAAATTCATTAAAAATCCTACAATGTGATTTTCTGGATTTTCTTTTCTCAATTTTTCTGTCATAGTTGACGTGTACCTATGATGAAAATTACAGGCCTCTCTCATCTTTTTAAGTGGGAGAACTTGCACAATTGGTGGCTGACTAAATACTTTTTTCCCCCACTGTATTTCTTCTGTAAGAAACATTTCAATTTAGCCCTATCCATATCGGCCAATTCCCACGAGTGTAAAGGGTTAGAGGGCAACTAAACGCAATAACTAACTTCTCTGGTTGAACACAGCCTATGTGGCATCAATATTAGTCAGAAACATTTATTCCATTGCCAAAATGTATCATAAAGTAAGTATAGGGCATTCAGAAAGTATTCAGACCCCTGGACTTTTTCCACATTGTTACGTTCCAGCCTTATTCTAAAATGGATGAAATCGTTTTTCCCCCTCATCAATCTACATACAATACCCCATAATGACATAGCAAAAACAGGTTTTTAGAAATTTGCCAATTTATAAAAATTAAAACACTTAAATATCGCAGTTACATAAGTATTCAGAGCCTTTACTCAGTACTTTGTTGAAGTACCTTTGGCAACGATTACAGCCTTGAGTCTTCTTGGGTATGACGCTACAAGCTTGGCACACCTGTATTTGGGGAGTTTCTCCCATTGTTCTCTGCAGATCCTCTCAAGCTCTGTCAGGTGGGACGGGGAGCGTCGCTGCACAGCTATTTTCAGGTCTCTGCAGAGATGTTCGATCGGGTTCAAGTCCGGGCTCTGGCTGGGCCACTCAAGGACATTCAGAGACTTCTCCCGAAGCTACTCCTGCGTTGTCTTGGCTGTGTGCTTAGGGTTGTTGTCCTGTTGGAAGGTGAACCTTCGCCCCAGTCTGAGGTCCTGAGCGCTCTAGAGCAGGTTTTCATCAAGGATCTCTCTTTACTTTGCTCCGTACATCTTTCCCTCGATCCTGACTAGTCTCCCAGTCCCTGCCACTGAAAAACATCCCCACAGCATGATGCTGCTACCACCATGCTTCACCGTAGGGATGGTGCCAGGTTTCCTCCAGACGTGACGCTTGGCATTCAGGCCAAAGAGTTCAATCTTGGTTTCATCAGACCAGATAATCTTGTTTTTCCTGGTCAGAGTCCTTTAAGTGCCTTTTGGCAAACTCCAAGCGGGCTGTTATGTGCCTTTTACTGAGGAGTGGCTTCCGTCTGGCCATTACCTTAAAAGGCCTGATTAGTGGAGCACTGCAGAGATAGTTGTCCTTCTGGAAGGTTCTCCCATCTCCACAGAGGAACTTTGGAGCTCTGTCAGAGTGACCATCAGGTTCTTGGTCACCTCCCTGACCAAGGCCCTTCTCCCCCGATTGCTCAGATTGGCCGGGTGGCCAGCTCTAGGAAGAGTCTTGGTGGTTCCAAACTTCTTCCATTCAAGAATGATGGAGGCCACTGTTCTTGTTGACCTTCAATGCTGCAGAAATGTTTTGATACCCTTCCCCAGATCTGTGCCTCGACACAATCCTGTCTCGGAGCTCTACAGACAATTCCTTCGACCTCATGGCTTGGTTTTTGCTCTGACATGCACTGTCAACTGTGGGACCTTATATAGACAGGTGGACTCCAATCAAGTTGTAGAAACATCAAGGATGATCAATGGAAACAGGATGCACCTGAACTAAATTTCATAGCAAAGGGTCTGAATACTTATGTAAATAAGGTATGTTTATTTTTCTTATACATTTGCAAAAATGTCTAAAAACCTGTTTTTGCTTTGTCATTATGGGGTATTGTGTGTAGATTAATGAGGGGAATTTTTTTAAAAAATCCATTTTAGAATAAATGCTGTAACGTAACAAAATGTGGAAAAAGTCAAGGGGTCTGAATACTTTCTGAATGCACTGTACATTCCAAAACTTAGTTTTGTGAGATTTGTTGAAAGAACACTTGGCCCCTAAGCCCTTTATGGAGTGGCCACTTACAGTGCATTCAGAAAGTATTCATACCCCTTGACTTATTCCACATTTTGTTATGTTACAACCTGAATTCAAAATTGATTAAATATATGTTTTTTCTCTCACCCATCTACACACACACACACAATACCCCATAACGACAAAGTGAAAACATGTTTTTAGACATTTTTTGCAAATTTATAGAAAATGAAATACAGAAATATCTCATTTTACATAAGTATTCACACCCCTGAGACAAAACCATGTTAGAATCACCTTTGGCAGCGATTACAGCTGTGAGTCTTTCTGGGTAAGTCTCAAAGAGCTTTGCACACCTGGATTGTACAATAAAACTCTTCAAGCTCTGGTTGTTGATCATAGCTAGACAGCCATTTCCAAGTCTTGCCATAGATTTTCAAGTTGATTTAAGTCAAAACTAACTAGGCCACTCAGAAACATTCAATGTCATCTCGGTAAGCAACTCCAGTGTATATTTGGCCAAGTGTTTTAGGTTATTGTCCTGCTGAAAGGTGAATTTGTCTCCCAGTGTGTTGGAAAGCAGACAACCAGGTTTTCCTTCCTTCTTTTGCTGTGCTTAGCTCTATTCCGTTTATTTTTATCCTAAAAAAAACTTGCCGATTACAAGCATACCCATAACGTGATGCAGCCACCATCATGCTTGAAAATATGAAGAGTGGTTCTCAGTGATGTGTTGGATTTGCCCCAAACATGACGCTTTTTTATTCAGGACAAAAAGTTAATTGCTTTGCAGTTTTACTTTAGTGCCTTATTGCAAACAGGATGCATGTTTTGGAATATTTGTATTCTGTACAGGCTTCCTTCATATCACTCTGTCATTTAGGTTAGTATTGTGGAGTAACTACAATGTTGTTGATCCATCCTCAGTTTTCTCCTATCACAGCCATTAAACTATGTAACTGTTTTAAAGTCACTATTGGCCTCATGGTGAAATCCCTGAGCGGTTTCCTTCCTCTCCTGAAACTGAGTTAGGAAGGACGCCTGTATCTTTGTAGTGACTGGGTGTATTGATACACCATCCAAAGTGTAATTAATAACTTCACCATGCTCAAAGGAATATTCAATGTCTGCTTTTTTTGTACCCATCTACCATTAGGTGCCCTTCTTTGCGAGGCATTGGGAAACCTCCCTGGTCTTTGTGGTTGAATCATTTTTTAAATTCACTGCTCGACTGAGGGACCTTAGAGATAATTGTATGTGTGGGGTACAGTGATGAGGTAATCATTAAAAAATCATGTTAAACACTATTATTGCACACAGAGTGAGTCCATGCAACTTATTATGTGACTTGTTAAGCAAATGTTTACTCCTGAACTTATTTAGGCTTGCCATAACAAACGGGTTGAATACGTATTAACTCAAGATATTTCAGCTTTTCATTTTTAATTAACTTGTAAACATTTCTAAAAACATAATTCCACTTTGACATTATTCAGGCTGTATCAACAAAATGTGGAAAAAGTGAAGGGGTGTGAATACTTTCTGAAGGCACTGTAGAGGTGCAGGAATTCAAGCAGTAGACAATGTGAGGTGCTGGTACTTAGTTCTATGACCTGCCCAAGTCAAGCACGGAGTCTGCCACTGTTTTGGGCAAAATTAGAATTGAGACGATGCACACTTATTTGTATCCCATCTGCCACTTATTATTCCAAAATCTAAAATTCAAAACCCATTTGCAAGCATCTTGTGTCCCACCGCGACCCGTTTTGTAACATGATTTGCTATGAAACAGTGCCAGACAGATGCATACTCTGGTAATAGATAGTAGCAGCAGACTCTATAATCTGCAGTGCACTACTAGTTTTCATGCCATTTTTTTACTTAATACTGCACCAAACACCTTAGCTAGATGTAAAGTTGCGCGACTAAAATATCCTCTGCAAAAAAGTCCAAATGAATTACTGATTTATTTATTCTGACTGTTTTGAGGAAGTGGTAGGCTAGTGACTAGGTTGTTGCTACGGTATCTCAAGAGCTACAAACATCAGTAAATGCCAGGGTATGATAACACACTCACATCGAACCACACCCCCAAGACCGAAATCTTGTTTTTCTTAATGAGCAACAGAAAGACATGGGGAATCGATGAGTTCAGTCGCTCTTTAACGTTTGCTCTACCCCACAGTTTCTCACCCTGTAGTCCGCTGGCCTGCCCCTGGGTTTTGGACAGCGCACTGAGGAGCGCCTCAGGAGTCATGTCCACTTTGGACAGGACGCTGGCCAGAGGGCTGGCTACCTGGGGGGCTACTGGGGCGGTCTTGGCAGGAGAGGAGGGGCAGACCAAAGAACCACCTGGACTCACTCCTGGAGAGGGAGGAAAAAACTGATTTAAATTTAAATCTGCCATTTATTATCCTCTCATGAGGTAGTGGAATATGTATTGTTGATGATCACTGTGACGGAACCTTGTTAATGACCAGCAGACTGAATAGTTGGTAAATGCTCTAAATAATGGCTTCTCACTGCTACACTGACTTCACAAAGTGTAACAATGTAATAGTAATGTAATAGAATGTTATGGTGATGTCACAATCAACAGGATGTTTTGAGGATGTAACAGTAGCTAAAGGAACAATACTAGGCTACAAGTGACATAAGAATAACAGTGTTGATGATGTGGCCAACTGCCTCAGGGTCAATTCTGAATTAAGTAGTGAATTGAATTTCAATTCAATTATTGTATTACATTTTAATTGACCACACCCCACAGAAAACACAATTTGAATTGAATTTGAATGAAAGGAAATAGAATATAATTAAATTCAAATAGGTAACGGCTATTTATACTGAACAAAAATATAAAAACGCAACATGCAACAATTTCAAAGATTTTGCTGAGTTATAGTTCATATAAGCAAATCAGTCAATTGAAAGAAATTCTTTAGGCCCTAATCTATGGATTTCACATGACTGGGCAGGGGGCGCAGACATGTGTGGGCCTGGGAGGGCACAAGTTCATCCACTGGGGAGCCAGGCCCAGCTAATCAGTATGAGTGTCGTCGTCACCCCCCCCGCTCACTAACAGGGATATAAACAAATGTGTGCACAACATGAGAGAAATAAGCTTTTTGTGCCTATGGAACATTTCTGGGATATTTTATTTCAGCTCCTGAAACCAGCACTTCACATGTTGCGTTTATGTTTTTGTACAGTGTAAATGGCTATTATTTATCTGTACATACATCTCTATACATAATGTATGGTAGCCAATACTATGTATAACATATGCTTGAACCATTTCATTTTCAACTCATTCTCCTAAAACAAGAATGTTAGGAGAATGTTATTAAATTATTTTTCCAGAATGCATTAGATTAAATCAAACACTCCAGAACAACCTAACATCTCATGACAAAAGCACACAAAAATACTGTTTGACATCTATGAGTTATAATCAAGCTAATATTTGAAATGGTATCTGTATTTTTTAAGTATTAACTGACAGATGCTTTTGGTAAAAGATTTGTCAAAGGAATGAGACTCATGTTTCACGTCTTAGTTGAATTTCTTTTAATTTCTTTTAATTAAATTCTACTTCTAATTCAAATTAAAGAAACATTCTGCTTCCTGTGTGGTGTGTCTTATTTATATTGGAATTTTAATTCAAGGGTTGAATTGAGTAAAATTCTGAAATTCTGAATTGACCCCAACCTTGGACTGCCTCCTTCATGATGCAACATCAGAATAACAGTGTTGATGATGTAATGGTGCCTTTATGATGTGTCATCAGAATAACCGTGCTGTTGATGCAATAGTGGCTGCCTGCCTTTATGATGTCACAATAGCTGAAGTTTCTCACCTGGTTTCTTCATGACAGAGGTGATGCTGCTGAGGATAGAGCTAATTTTACCCATGTCCACATTGGCGAGGTTGCCTGACAGGTTGGTTGTAGGGGTCACAGGGGCCATGAGAGCTGGGGAGGGTGTGGCCTGTGGGACAGGCTTTACCTCTGTGGCCAGCGGCAACTGTGTGACAACAGGCACAGGAATGGGGTCTGGAGATGGGATGGGACTTTCAACTCGCTCCTCAACTGTAAAAACAGAGGAAATGTACAATTGAAACAGCTAAGTTGAAACACAATAGAGTCTTATAGCTATAATGAAGCACATAAAAGTAATACATCCTGTCCCTTAACCCCCTGCACCCCATCCCTGCTCTGCATCACATGCCACTCCCCCTCACCTATGATACTGATGCTCTCTGCCTCCTCCTCATCCGAGAGCTCCATGTCCTCCACGTCGCGGTTGTCTGACTCCCCAACGGTGAAGCCCTGCTTGGGGGAGCCACCAGGGGAGGACAGGGGGCTGGGTGCTTCCCCCAGAGTGATGTCCGCCTCATCATCCATGGCCAGGCCATCCAAGTCGGCGTCTGGGCCAGCCAGGCCATGGAAGGGGGACTCTGAGCCATTGGGGGAGGGGGCGTCCATCGAGGGCGAGGGGATGGGCGACTCGTCCAGGTCTGGTAAGGTGGCCTTGAGGCTGTCCAGCTTACGCTTGAGGTGGGACACCCGGTTGGCAAACGTCTTGTAGGCCTTAAATAGAAGTAAAAAAAGAACACATGGTCAATTATTTTTCCAAATCTATGCAACTCAAGTCTTACTACTAAAGCCCACCACTAAAACCAAAGAGAACCGCTTTCAACCTTTCACAACAGATGCAAAGGCATTACGGACACTATCTAGTTCAGCTACTCACATTGGCGACTATCTTGACCTCCTTATACTGCATCTCGTAGAAAATGTCTGCGTTGCCAAGAGCATCCAACAGAGGGGGCCCTCCTTTGATCTGCCGGTCAAGGAAGGCCACAAACTCCTTTAGCTTCGCACTGCCGTCCTCAAAGTCCTTGGAGTGCCTCTTTCCCCCTGCCTTATCTGAAGGGGTGGTTGATTTGGAGAGAGAAATAATAAAGAAGACTTGGTCAGACTAAAAACAAGCCTCATCTCCTCCTAGGTCAGAGGGGCCAAGTTTTTTTTTTTCTTTCTGAGCAGTAAGAGATGCCTCATGCCTTTTCCAGTTCCTGGGCCAATGCTCATTGACAACACTGCAGGAGGATGTGGGCCCTGGTCAAAAGTTGTACACTATATAGGGAATAAGATGCAATTTGGGACACAGACAGGGTCAATGCTCATGGACGACTTTGCAGGACGTTGTGTGTTAGCCAAAACCTTGTTACCTTTCAGTCTCTTGAGGACCTCGGTGCTGCAGACGTCCACCCTCATGCCTGCCAGCTGTTTCTCCTTTAGCTCCACCTCCTCTACAGAGCTGTGGTACTTACAGAGGTGATCGATGAACACTTGGGGCTGCATGACAGGACACAGTCAGAGAGCCACACCACAGGACATGGCAATAGTTAGGGTTAAGTTCAACTCAACATACTAGCTTTGAAGTACAACCATTTACATTAAGTATTTACAGTTCTCATAGTATAGTAGTTACAGTTAATTTGGTATGTTTTGGTCATTTCTCGAGAGAATATGCAGTAAGACATTTTCTGAATATACACTACCGTTCAAAAGTTTGGGGTCACTTAGACATTTCCTTGTTTTCTATGAAAACATACATGAAATGAGTTAGAATAGGAAATATAGCAAAATGAATAGGCAATGTAGTCAATGAAAAGGTTAGAAATAATGATTTTCAATTTGTTGAGGTAATCTGAAGAGATTTCACCCCATGCTTCCTGAAGCACCTCCCACAAATTGGATTGGCTTGATGGGCACTTCTTACGTACCATACGGTCAAGCTGCTTCCACAACAGCTCAATAGCGTTGAGATCCGGTGACTGTGCTGGCCACTCCATTATAGACAGAATACCAGCTGACTGCTTCTTCCCTAAATAGTTCTTGCATAGTTTGGAGCTGTGCTTTGGGTCATTGTCCTGTTGTAGGAGGAAATTGGCTCCAATCAAGTGCCGTCCACAGGGTATTTCGTGGTAGCCTTCCTTCTTCAAGATCCCTTTTACCCTGTACAAATCTCCCACTTTACCACCACCAAAGCACCCCCAGACCATCACATTGCCTCCACCATGCTTGACAGATGGCATCAAGCACTCCTCCAGCATCTTTTCATTTGGTCTGTGTCTCACAAATGTTCTTCTTTGTGATCCAAACACCTCAAACTTCTATTCGTCTGTCTAACACTTTTTTTCCAATCTTTCTCTGTCCAGTGTCTGTGTTCTTTTGCCCATCTTTTATTTGTATTGGTCAGTCTAAATAATATGGCTTTTTCTTTGCAACTCTGGTCAGCATCCCGGAGTTGCCTCTTCACTGTTGACGTTGAGACTGGTGTTTTGCGGGTACTATTTAATGAAGCTGCCAGTTGAGGACATGTGAGACGTCTGTTTCTCAAACTAGACATTCTAATGTATTTGTCCTCTTGCTCAGTTGTGCACCGGGGCCTCCCACTCCTCTTTCTATTCTGGTTCGAGCCAGTTTGCGCTGTTCTGTGAAGGGAGTAGTACACAGCTTTGTACGAGATCTTCAGTTTCTTGGCAATTTCTCGCATGGAATAGCTTTAATTTCTCAGAACAAGAATAGACTGACGAGTTTCAGAAGAAAGTTACTTGTTTCTGGCCATTTTGAGCCTGTAATTGAACCCACAATTGCTGATGCTCCAGATACTCAACTAGTCTCAAGAAGGCCAGTTTTATTGCTTCTTTAAATCAGCACAACAGTTTTCAGCTGTGCTAACATAATTGCAAAAGGGTTTTCTAATGATCAATTAGCCTTTTAAAATGATAAACTTGGAAACACAATGTGCCATTGGAACACAGGACTGATGGTTGCTGATAATGGGCCTCTGTACGCCTATGTAGATAGTCCATAAAATATCATCCGTTTCCAGCTACAATACCCATTTACAACATTAACAATGTCTACACTGTATTTCTGATCAATTTGATGTTATTTTAATGGACAAAAAAAAAGCTTTTCTTTCGGAAACAAGGACATTTCTAAGTGACCCCAAACTTTTGAACGGTAGTGTACGATTTAGATAAAAACAAAAAGCTAAAACAGTGCAGAAAATATAATCTATCCTAAACAGTTGGTAGTGGACACTTACGACAAATTCAGCTACAATCTTAGATTGAAGAGCAGCTTTAGGGTCGACTGGAGCTGAAATTACAAAAACTTTGTCATGGACATTTCTTAACACAACACACAAGCACTGAACAGAACAGCTCAAATCCATACAATTAAACATGAAGTACAACAATAAACATGATGCCTCATTATCTTGACATTTGTACAATTTCGAAAGATACTTCCCATGATATTTAAAACATGCAGTATATCACAGTGAACTCTGCTGGTGGTACATGGTTGGAACTGATTCACTCACCTTTAGGTGTCTCTAAAGCAGCAGGTGACTCCTCTTTGACCAGACTGGCCCTCAGCTCAGCTATGAGCTCATCTGTGTACACGCTCCTCTCCTCCCAGATGGTTAATATCCTGTCCACTGACTTCATCACCTTAGAGTCTCCCACATTACTGCAGGACAGCAGACAGAAAAGTTAACTACTGACATGTCACTGATGTGTAAAGTGACAGAGTAGCCCTGACGACAAGATCAAACTCCCCTTATTTCAACAACGAGGTACTGGGTCGGAACGCCCTTTGCCTCCAGAACACCCCGATTCCTTCGGGGCATGGATTCTACAAGGTGTCAGAAACATTCCACAGTGATGTTGGACCATGCTGACGCAATGACATCACCCAGTTGCTGCAGATAGAGAGAATGGCGCCGGAGGGGATGGCTGCCGTTTTACGGGCTCCTAACCAATTGTGCTATTATTTTTATTTTATGTTTTCGTAGTTTGTAACTTTTTTTTTTACATTATGTTTCTGCCACCGTCTCTTACCACCGAAAAGAGCTTCTGGACATCAGAACAGCGATTACTCACCTCGGACTGGACAAAGATTTTTTCTTTAATGAATCAGAGGCGAAAGATTTACGGCTCCTCCCGGACCAGGCCCAAATCCCCATCATTCGCATGAAGAGGAGACGCCGATACAGGGGCCGCAAATCCGGGTGCTTGGTGAGAATTTGTCGTACTGGCGAACACTCCGTTCGAGACTAGCTGTTCGCTGCTCTGGCACCCCAATGGTGGAACAAGCTCCCTCACGACGCCAGGACAGCGGAGTCACTCACCACCTTCCGGAGACATTTGAAACCCCACCTCTTTAAGGAACACCTGGGATAGGATAAAGTAATCCTTCTACCCCCCCCCCCCCCCCCCCCAAAAAAAAAAAAAAAGTATAATTGTAAAGTGGTTATCCCACTGGCTATAGGGTGAATGCACCAATTTGTAGTCGTTCTGGATAAGAGCGTCTGCTAAATGACGTAAATGTGCCCTTGAGCAAGGCACTTAACCCTAATTGCTCCTGTAAGTCGCTCTGGATAAGAGCGTCTGCTAAATGACTAAAATGTAAATGTAAATGTAATAAAAAACTGTAATATCTTATGTTTCACAGAGTCTTGGCTGAACGAGGACATGGATAATATATACAGTTGGCTGGGTTTTCCGTGCATCGGCAAGACAGAACAACCACCTCCGGTAAGAAGAGGGGTGATGGTCTGTGTACATTTGTCAATAACAGCTGGTGCGCGATCTCTAATATTAAGGAAGTCTCAAGGTTTTAAATCGCTTGAGATGGAGTACCTCATGATAAGCTGTAGACCACACTATTTACCAAGAGAGTTTATCTATATTTTTGGTAGCTGTCTATTTACCACCACAAACCGATGCAGGCACTAAGACTGCACTCAACTAGCTGTATAAGGCCATAAGCAAACAAGAGAACGCTCACCCAGAAGCGGCGCTCCTAGTGGCCAGGGCCTTTAATGCAGGAGGATTAAAAAATCTCCCTCGCCCTCCATTTGACAAATCTGACCATATTTCTATCCTCATAACTCCTGCTTACAAAGCAAAAACTCAAGCAGGAAGTACAAGTGACTCGCGCAAAAAGGAAGTGGTCAGATGACGCAGATGCTGAAGCTACAGGACTGTTTTGCTAGCACAGACTGGAATATGTTCCAAGATTCATCCGATGGCATTGAGGAGTATACCACGTCAGTCACCGGCTTCATCAATAACTGCATCGACAACATCGTCCCCACAGTGGCCACACTGAGCTAAAGGCTAGAGCTGCCGCTTTCAAGGAGCGGGACACTAATCCGGACGCTTATAAGAAATACCACCATGCCCTCCGACGAACCATCAAACAGGCAAAGCTTCAATAAAGGACTAAGATTGAATCCTACTACACCAGCTCTGCCGCTCGTCAGATGTGGCAGGGCTTGAAAACTATTATGGATTACAAAGGGAAATCCAGCCACGAGCTGCCCAGTGACGCGAGCCTACCAGACGAGCTAAATGCCTTCTATGCTCGTTTCGGGGGAAGCAATACTGAACCATGCATGAGAGCACCAGCTGTTCCATATGATTGCGTGATAATGCTCTCGTAGCCGACTTGAGTAAGACCTTTAAACAGGTTAACATTCACAAGGCCGCAGGGCCAGACGGATTACCAGGACGCGTACTCACGAGCATGTGCTGACCAACTGACAAGTGTCTTCACTGACATTTTCAACCTCTCCCTGACCGATTCTGTAATACCTATAGTTGAAGTCGGAAGTTTACATACACCTTAGCCAAATACATTTAAACTCAGTTTTTCACAATTCCTGACATTTAACCCTAGTACAAAATCCCTGTCTTAGGTCAGTTAGGATCACCACTTTATTTTAAGAATGTGAAATGTCAGAATAATAGTAGAGAGAATTATTTATTTCAGCTTTTATTTCTTTCATCACATTTACATACACTCAATTAGTATTTGGTAGCATTGCCTTTAAATTCTTTAACTTGGGTCAAACGTTTCAGGTAGCCTTCCACAAGCTTCCCACAATAAGTTGGGTGAATTTTGGCCCATGTTGCTTCATATCCACATAATTTTCCTTCCTCATGATGCCAGCTATTTTGTGAAGTGCACCAGATCCTCCTGCAGCAAAGCACCCCCACAGCATGATGCTGCCACCCCCATGCTTCATGGTTGGGATGGTGTTCTTCGGGTTGCAAGTCCCCCCTTTTTCCTCCAAACATAACGATGGTCATTATGGCCAAACAGTTCTATTTTTTAATTTTTTTTATCAGATCAGAGGACATTTCTCCAAAAAGTACAAGCTTTGTCCCCATGTGCAGTTGCAAACCGTAGTCTGGCTTTTTAAAGGTGGTTTTGGAGCAGCCGTCATACCGCTCAGGAAGGAGCGGAGTTCTGTCTCCTAGAGATGAACGTACTTTGGTGCGAAAAGTGCAAATCAATCCCAGAACAACAGCAAAGGACCTTGTGAAGATGCTGGAGGAAACAGGTACAAAAGTATCTATATCCACAGTAAAACAAGTCCTATATCGACATAACCTGAAAGGCCACTGCTCCAAAACCACCATAAAAAAGCCAGACTACGGTTTGCAACTGCACATGGGGACAAAGCTTGTACTTTTTGGAGAAATGTCCTCTGGTCTGATGAAACAAAAATAGAACTGTTTGGCCATAATGACCATCGTTATGTTTGGAGGAAAAAGGGGGGGCTTGCAAGCCGAAGAACACCATCCCAACCGTGAAGCATGGTGGTGGCAGCATCATGCTGTGGGGGTGCTTTGCTGCAGGAGGGACTGGTGCACTTCACAAAATAGATGGCATTATGAGGAATGAAAATTATGTGGATATATTGAAGCAACATCTCAAGACATCAGTCAGGAAGTTAAAGCTTGGTCGCAAATGGGTCTTCCAAATGGACAATGACCCCAAGCATACTTACAAAGTTGTGGCAAAATGGCTTAAGGAAAACAAATTCAAGGTATTGGAGTGGCCATCACAAAGCCCTGACCTCAATTTGTGGGCAGAACTGAAAAAGCTCGTGCGAGCAAGGAGGCCTACAAACCTGACTCAGTTACATCAGCTCTGTCAGGAGGAATGGGCCAAAATTCACCCAACTTATTGTGGGAAGTTTGTGGAAGGCTACCCGAAACATTTGACCCAAGTTAAACAATTTAAAGGCAATGCTACCAAATACTAATTGAGTGTATGTAAACTTCTGACCCACTGGGAATGTGATGAAATAAATAAAAGCTGAAAGAATTAAAAGCTGAAATAAATAATTCTCTCTACTATTATTCTGACATTTCACATTCTTAAAATAAAGTGGGGATCCTAACTGACCTAAAACAGGGAATTTTTACTAGGATTAAATGTCAGGAATTGTGAAAAACTGAGTTTAAATGTATTTGGCTAAGGTGTACAGTGGGGGAAAAAAGTATTTAGTCAGCCACCAATTGTGCAAGTTCTCCCACTTAAAAAGATGAGAGAGGCCTGTAATTTTCATCATAGGTACACGTCAACTATGACAGACAAAATGAGGAAAACAAATCCAGAAAATCACATTGTAGGATTTTTTTATGAATTTATTTGCAAATTATGGTGGAAAATAAGTATTTGGTCAATAACAAAAGTTTCTCAATACTTTGTTATATACCCTTTGTTGGCAATGACACAGGTCAAACGTTTTCTGTAAGTCTTCACAAGGTTTTAACACACTGTTGCTGGTATTTTGGCCCATTCCTCCATGCAGATCTCCTCTAGAGCAGTGATGTTTTGGGGCTGTCGCTGGGCAACACGGACTTTCAACTCCCTCCAAAGGTTTTCTATGGGGTTGAGATCTGGAGACTGGCTAGGCCACTCCAGGACCTTGAAATGCTTCTTACGAAGCCACTCCTTCGTTGCCCGGGCGGTGTGTTTGGGATCATTGTCATGCTGAAAGACCCAGCCACGTTTCATCTTCAACGCCCTTGCTGATGGAAGGAGGTTTTCACTCAAAATCTCACGATACATGGCTGTACATCTCGGCTGTTGCTTGGCTCTTCAGCGTAGCCTACGAATGATCACTCAGTGTAATAAAAGCCCATCACTGTCGATTGAGGTTCTATCAGCATTTGTTTTAAAACAACGCACACAGAATAAGCCTAACTAGGCTACTCCCGAGTGGCGCAGTGGTCTAAGGCACTGCAACGCTGTGCCACTAGAGATCCTGGTTCAAATCCAGGCTCTGTCGTAGCAGGCCGCGACCGGGAGACCCATGGGGCGGCTCAGAATTGGCCCAGCGTCGTCCAGGGTAGGGGAGGGAATGGCCGGCAGGGATGTAGCTCAGTTGGTAGAGCATGGCGTTTGCAACGCCAGGGTTGTGGGTTCAATTCCCATGGGGGGATATGAAAAAAATAATGTATGCACTCACTAACTGTAAGTCGCTCTGGATAAGAGCGTCTGCTAAATGACTAAAATGTCAATGTATAACACAGCAATGAAAGTCAGGGAGGGACAGCTGTTCACATCTGACGCTGCAAACACAGGGCCTGCCGCCTGACTGTATATTCAATCATTTAATTTGAGTGATACTTGAATACAGTGCATGTGTAGTGTACTTCTGAGCATGA